TATACGTCTCATTTCAGTTCTGGTGCCCATTTTTGTCTTCATCTTGCTGCTTTTTTTTAAACATCGTATGACAATTTTCTGATTGATTGAGTCTGTAACCTGCACTTTTCTTTCTTTCTATAGCACCATTTTGAAGATTACATGCCACAAACGTTAAATAATCAAACATGCGCTCTTCTCACTGCTAGGTATTAATTGGAAACGAACCAAGCTTTCTGGCAAACAGTCGAGTGTAATAGTGCTCCGTTTAGCGGTTTTCTAAATTTTCTGGAATATCTACAGAAGGACTGAAAACGCTATAAGTTTGTAAGTAGTTTGCTTACAAAATCAGTGTTGATAAAAAGTACAGCTCTTTTGGTGAGACAAATTTGGGTGTTAAAATAATTAGCCATTTTTGAAGAACAACTTTAGATCAAGGCCTTTTGATGCCCGATTTTTTCTAGAATAATCAGTGAGTACGGGAGTAACGGTATAGGTGATCTATTGCTTCTCGACTATATCTATGGTTTAGCCAAATTGTTCAATATCTTTGTTGAGTAGTTTCTTCATTCTAATGAAATAATTTGTTGCCTTTTTAAATCGCCCCACTGATTTTGACCGAAAATTTTTAAAATCAGTACTCCATAAGATAATACAAAAGATACTGATTATAGCTTTAAAAACTAAGTAGAAGAACAAACATGCTATGATAGAAGATTATTTATGCGTTAATGATTGATTACGGACTTTTTTTGCAGCAGCCACTGATGAGCCTTCCGAAAAATATATACGGGGGAAAAACTGCGATGAAAATATTACAAGTTGGATTGTTGTTTCTCTTGTTGTTTCTTCGACAAACATCAGGTTTGGTATTATTTCCTAAACAGTAAGGAAGAATAAGGTTCATTGGTAGCGCCACTGTACAGATGATATTCAAAATTGAAAGAGCTAGTTTATTAAACCAGAGATTGAAAGGTTCGAGTGCGCGTTACCTGCCTCGCGTAGTTCTTCCTTGTGTTCTAATACGTCAATAATAAAAAGTCTGCAAAAAAGTAGTGTTTGGGGGGGGGG